AGATATTAGTACTTCAATATGTTGGTTTATTAGCATTACATCAGTTAATAAAATACGGTATTTTATTGTGAATTTAAGTTAAGCCTGTAAAACCTAAAATGTTGCTACCAAATTATTTACGGTGAAGTTCTGGCAACCACAGCTGCCGGTATTTTACCGTAAATGTCACAGATTTTTTTTACAGTGTACCCTACACTCTTTAAGCTGATCAAAATGAATACATGGGCATTGCATGTATTTTGAACAAAATGTATGTGCTTATGAAGAGCATCATTACCATTAATGACAAGGCTTGACAATCCTGTCATTATTGCATTTCTAACATTGAAAAATATGACAAGAAAGCTTTCTTCCCATGTTGTATCTTCACAAATACTGAGAATTAGAATCAGTGTCCCAGATTTCTTTTGCTAATATCCCTAAAAATATTTGCCCATTCCTTTTCCAGTATCTCTGTATGAGTACTTGAGTGTATGGAAACTGGAGGGAGAGTTGTCTTGCACTGCACTACAGATTTTGTTTTGATTGTGAAAATAGGCAGACTTCAAGATTTACGGTGTAAATATTTTTTTAAAGAATTCTGGTAGTACTTCATTTTACAGTCCTGTTATGCTTGTACTACCGTGTAAAATCTGAAAGATTTTAATGTTTGAAAGAAGTCTGTTATGCTTACAATTATAGTTCAGTAAAAACAGGAAAAAAATTGTAAATATTTAAAATAACTTTTCTATTTTAGAATATATTTCTAAATATTTCTGAATATATTTTAAAATGTCATTTATTCATGTGATGCAATGCTGAATTTTACAGCATCACCAGTCTTCAGTGTAACATGATGCTTCAGAAATCATCAGAATATGATTTTCTTATTACAGTCAGTGTTGAAAACGGTTTAATATTTTTGTGGAAATGATGATACATTCTGTTCAGGATTCTTTAATAAATAGAAAGTTCAAAACGACAGCATTTATTTGAAATAGAAATCTTATTAACAATTATAAATGTTGTCACTTTTGATCAATTTAATGTGTCCTTGATGAATAAAAGTAATCATTCCCTACATAAATAAATTTTAGTACTTACAATAACTGGGTAACAATTAGGTGTTAACCTTGAACCTAACCATAAACCATGTGGTTAAATTAGTCTTATATTAGTCAGTACTGCTTTTGGTAAGTACACTGTACATACATGAAAGTGCATGTACTGTAAAATAAAGTGCAACTGGGTTTCTTAAAAATTGCTCTGTTCTTGGCTGATCACTGTTTTAAATGCCCCTTTATCCCGTTGTGAAGTGTAAAGCACTAACATGTGTACGTAGCAACATGGCACCTGTTTTGCTGAGTGTTACTCTGATGTTTTTTTTTTTCTTTTCCTGGGGCTAAATTATCTTACCTTGTACTGTGTCCTTTCCACTTCCGGGTTATTTTTTTTTTTTGCTAAGTACACACTCATTGGCTACTAATGGCATATGGGTAAAACTCACGCCCCCATTGTGTAAGCAACATAGTGACCGTTCAAAGCACCCACAATTTTTAGAATCGGGAACTCAATCCCCACACAAACAATCATACCATCAAAGCTCTCTCAACCCACCCTATGAAGTCAGCCACACACATGCTCCTGCAACACTCTGAAACAGCTGCGTGGCTCTACTGAGAACTTCAGGCTGTTCGCAAGCTAGCATTCTTCATACCTGCTCAATGTCAGCGCGCCCCCGCTCACATTTGCACAAAACAAACCGCAGGCGAATAATATACTGGTGAGAAATAAAGAGTCAAATCATTAAACACATCATAAAAGGCTTTGAAGGAATCGTTGTGTGAAGCTCTCTGAGGTGAACATCCTGT